GAGTGGTAGGGACTTGTTTTCTTCAGTACATCTTAGAATCTTTCCTGAATTGGCTTGCCTAGATTTTACTACGCACTTCAATGTCCACACTGAGAAACAGCCTCTCTCCCTTCCTTCCTCCTCGTCTTCCATTAACAGGTACATTCTTACTTCTTAGAGGACCAGTTCCATTCTTCTGGAACAATTCAGAATAATAGCTGAATAATTGTTCTTCTGAAACAATTCAGGATAATAGCTTACAGGTAGAGTCATCCTCTAGAATGATGAGGACTAAGGGAAGAGAAGGGGAAGACTTCAATGCTGCTGTTTATAAACAGAACACCACTCCTCAAGTGCTGTGGGTAAATAAGGGGCCAGAATTGTCAAGAGCTCAATTGTGGTGCCCTTGACATCTAGGCAGTTCTGTGACCTATCTTTAAAGTTTCACTTCTTCCCTCAGAATATTTCTACACACAACTAACTCTTACGTCATCCTCATGAACATTTATTTCTTGTGACATTTATTGTATATTTAGATGTATTACATACATTTCTAACTAGATCAGGAATTAACCAAGATTAGAGATTTAATCTTATATGTCTTTGCTTCTTTCTCAGTACTTTACAGAATAATATACAAAATAGGGCACCATAAATACTTACCAAATACATTTATTTAAGTTTGAGATAATAGGAATACAAAAAATTAACTCAAACTATTTGTTTGAAATTTAGAAGTATGTTTCAATTGTCTCTGAAATAATAACATGATAACTTTAGGAAGCAGTCTCAATTATTTTGTATAATATTATATTTGATTTTCAATAGCTATGGGAAAACAGTATTTTCCACCATGTTATAAAAATGTATTGGAGGTTGGCTTTCTACAAGGATCAAAGATAAGAGTCATTTTTTAAAAGTTGGCTTTTTAATAACTTTACCCTTTATATTATTTCTTTCTTTGTTCTTCAGAGGTCTGAGATACCAGCCCATGGAAAGACCAATGGGTCTAAGTTCATAGCAACTGCAAAATAAAATTGAAATTCCTTATTAAAGCCTGTATGAGGGGGAGTGTGAAACATTTTAGGGGGGCATAGGTTGGGAAAATGATATGGAATGGCAGCTCTGAAAATAAACTCATCCGTAAATTTGTTTCATTATTTTTTCCATCCCTTTAAAAATGAATTGGTACTAATCTATGTTTAGTTTGTATACTCTATTAATAGTAATTTGTATTTAAAGTAACTTATGTGCTTACAAAGTGAAGTGATCATTTTCTCCAAAGAAGCTGAAATAGTATTAAATGACTTATTCCATCCTATATTGATAGTAATTAAGCAGACTAGACCCTTATTTTATATGTCTTTACATAAGTCAAGATATTGTATTGGCAATAAATGTCACTAGAGAACTGGAGAATTCTTAGTTTCCAGGAAATTTTCTTTGGCCAAATGGACTTTTTTTAAACATCAGACCTGTGTGTAGCTTTAAGTAATCCTCTATTCTCTGACACTATACCACCTCATATAAAATTTTATATATCCTAACTTTATTTGTTATTTATGGGACATGTTTTAAATCAATTGAGTTTAATTTAACTTATCATACCCTAAAATGGCCTCTTTTCTTGATTTTTTTGTTTCCAACTAAAATTGCTTTTTAGCAGGAATATATTTCTGGTGTTCATAACGCACCAATTATCTCCCTGCATGGTTTTAAGACATCATTTAATATAACAACACATTTCAAAGAGATGTTATCTTATAATTTAACATTCACTCAACATTTCTTTCCTTTTTTTTTTTTTTTTTTAGTAAATAACTTCCATAGAATAGATAATGTGCTAGAATCTGGAATTACAGAGAGATATAACAACATATTTGCTAGTCCTTTGGAGTCCTTTTCGGTCAAGAAGAGCAGAGGAGAAATAAGGCAGGTTCAGACAGTAACGCTGCAGGTGCTGTGAGATAAATGTAGACTTCCGTCACTTACTGAGCAGATGATCTGCCTGGCAGGCTGAGGTCTGAGGAAATGGCAGTGAACAGCACAGATGGAACTCTATTCTCTTGCAAAGCTGATATTATAGGGATCTTAAGTAGCATGAGGATCTATCATTTGGGGTCACAAAGCTTAAGCAGAGAAGGTAGCATTTCATCCCGGGTCTGATTTAAAGGGACAAGCAATCTCTAACTGGCAGGGGAATGGCCAGTAGGAATCTCTGGAGTATCACTTATATATCAAAATGTTTGAGTGAACATTGAAAATAGAGCCATTTTCCAATTTATAACCTCATATCTTGAAGTAATGCATATGGTTTGTTGTGGATGGTGAGTTTCACTATCAGGGTCCTTTCTGGAACTAACCAGTTCCTAAAGCTGTCAGTCCTCCACATCTGCACTGCCATGAAAGATAAATCCATTTAAAGTAAATAAGGCAGAATGGTACAATTTGTCTCACTTGCTTCGCTGGTAATGTCTTCACTTCAGTAGTGTACTTTAGATCAGAACAGGTTTCTCTTTCTTAAGTGGAAGACTCTCAAGGATGTCGAACTTGGTTTTTCTGTTCTTCAGTCTTTTGATTCTAGTGTAATCTAAATGTGTTTTATCTATCTTATTCTTTCCTTGTGTAAAGATGTTCTCTCAAAGTTCTGTACACGTTAACTTTGGTGAACCATTATAATTTAAGATAAATCATATCTTCAGAAAATGGCAGTGATCAGTTATTTAGGGGGATAGGTTTTCAAAATGAATAAAAACACCTCTTTTTGTAACCTCAAGTTTTGCTATAAAATCAAACAAAATAATTAATGAATATGGAATGCACTTTGGAGACTTTAGTGACAAAACCTTTTCAATCCCTACAGTGGATTTTATTCATATTGTTAAGTTAAGGGCCTGGCACAATGGCTCAGCCTATAATCCTAGCACTTGGGGATGCAGAGGTCAGAGAATTGCTTGAGGTCAGGATTTCAAAGCTATGGTGAGCTACTACGCTCCAGACCCGGAGACAGCAAAACTGTATCTCTAAAAAAATTAAAAATATATAAGAGATTTGGTGAACAGGGAGATATATATTAGCTTCAAGTATTACTTCTTCTATCATAATTTTAAGTTGATTCATGGGTATGGGAAATTAGCAAAAATTATCACATTCTCAAAGAACACTCCGTGTAACCCTACCTGTTTTTCTCTTTTGTAGCTCTTATCAAACTACTTATCACTTTATATAATTTTCTTTTGATATTGGATTTTTTTCTCTAATTGTACTTTATCAAATCTGCTTTACTTATGTAGTAAAAATTATTGAGCGTCAGCACAAAGAATTGCTGTAAAACGGTTTTCATCAAAGGAAGGGGAGAAGGAATAAGAATCATTACATTGGAGCTTGATGATTTGCTGACAGACATATTTAATGCATCAGGTACACAGCCCAGGCAGCCTTTATTCTCTTAGCAGACTGCCATGCTCTAGTGTTTCTTACTCTTTAAAAGGAATGGGATAATCTGAGTAGCACATTGAAGTGAATATCCCAGGCTCTGCCCCAGCAGGTCTGGGAATCTACATTTTCATGATGCCCAGGTGTTCTGGGAACTAGGAACTTGTGGACTGTACTTGAACAGAGTCCTTTTGTGATCTCTCCCCTTTGCCCAAGGCTTGCCCTTGCGAAGGCCCTGTAAGGCCTCCTTGCAGGCCTCCACCTGCCGGACCCATCGCAGTCCGTCACGACTGCCCACTTAGGTTCTAACTACACTTTCATTTACTACTTTGACCTGAAGTGACCCTCGGTAGTGTTATGCTGACCTTGTTGGAGCCAGTTGTATCCGGTCCCATAGAATGTCCCCCTAACTATTGTCTCACTTAAAGACTGAGTCTAGTGGTAGGATATTTGGGAAAAGATAACAAGAGAATTCCACCTTTCATGATATGATGAAAGAATGATTTTTAAATAAGGTCTCCGAGGATATCAGCTGGGAACTGCTTGCCTGTAAGGAAATACTTAACAAGTATTGATCATTAAATCCTCATAAGAAATCTGTGAAGTAAGTACCACTATTATATTCGTGTTACAGTTGAGGACACAGAGGCTGGGTCACTGTACCAATATCACACAGGCACAAAGTGGCAGGGCAGGGATCTGCACGCTGGTGAGCTGGCCCCAGGGTCCAGAGGACCACTATACTAGCGTTAGCTTTTTCTAAGTCAAAGGAACATCTGTGGATATTTTGTGACCACAATTCATATTATAATGACTTTCAGTAAGTTATATCAAGAAATGGAAAATAAAGAAAAAACAAACAAGAATCTAATCAAAAGAAACAGAACACAGCAAACAACATGTGGAATGGTTTTCGGTGTACTGACTCTAAAGTGGGTTTCAGCATCACAGGACCGGGCTGTCTGTACACACCGCGGAGCCCACGGACACGTAATGACATACAGTGACAGCCCCGTGTCCTCAGAAGAAAGCAATGTGACACTGCATCTACATTATTTTTCTTCTGGAATACAGGCTACTCCATGGTGAGCATGAATTTTTGAATCAGAAGGACCAGGCTTCCAGTCCTTGCCTGCCATTTATTTGCTTGATGACCTGTGGCCATTTGTTCACTTACTTCCCGGCTTCTTTGAAATGGACATGAGGATGCACGGTGAACTGATGTGAAACAGACCCTGCCTGGAACACAGGCTCGCTCCTCAACACTGGACATACTCATTTGTTATTTACTGTTTTAATTTTAGTAACAATAAATAAATTACTAGAATTTAAAAAGTAAGTTTAGACAGAATACTTTGAGCAGAATAAATATATTATTAAAGTTTAAGTGATGTTGAAGCTTTTTTCTGCTAAGATTCAAATACCATCCTCTTGTTTTTTTCAAAGGGACAGAAGAGCATTGTTAAGGCAAGTCCCCTCTGTCTTCAGTGGTCTGTCTGGTTTCTAACTTAGAGTCATGATTATAAATGCTGGTTTTGCCCCTTTGAAGATGTCTCTTTTGAGAGGAGCTCATTTGTCTTCCCCAGGTGATCAACCCGACGCTCACCAACTGCTGGTCCTGGCCTCGCGGCTGCGGGAGAGCGCTGAACTCTTCCAGTCGGAGGAGATGCGACCTGCTAACGACCCCAAGGAGAGAGCGCCCTCCCGCGTCCGGATGCTGAACGACGTTCTCCAGGACATGGAGAAAAACTTCCTGGTCCGGCAGGTGCCACCCGGTTTTTATAGGTAGGATGATTTGTTCAAAATTTATATTTTTGCTCTGAATTAACTTTGCATGTTTAATTTTCAGAATATGAATATGTACCTTCTGTGAACATAACACTGCTGAAAAGATAACTGTAAAGAAGTTCTATCTACAATAATAAATTGGCTCTCTTCCCCAAAGGAAAATTCAACTGCATAAATATAGAACAAAGGAAACTTGGTTTAGTAGTAGCATATAGAAGATGACCAAGACAATTTTCACATTAATTTCAGTATGACTCAAATGTGATATGTCTAATGGAAAAACAAATGGAATTATAGGTTGTATTGAGAGAAAAGTACTTTTTTGAACAGACCAGGAGAAAGGCCCTTGAACTTTTTTTCTGGTAAGATCCAGTCTAGATTGCTGCATTTAATTCACTGCATTTTATGAGGGACTTAAATAAGTTTAATATTTAAGGGAGGGTGTAATTTAGATGCATCTTGACAACCAAAGAATTAGGGGTATTTGGTTAAAGAGTCAAAATGGAATGTTTTTTGAAAACATTTTAACAATTATCATATGAAAGGGGGATTAGATTTAGACCCTCAAAAGACAAATCAAGTACTACAAAGTTTTGTTTTTGAATATTTATAATAGAAAATAAACAAAAGGAAAATGCAGTTTGAAAGATGACATGTTTTAATTGACTTTTCTATAAGATACAAAATATAACTACAAATAACTTTCTTTATACTACATGTAATATAATATGTGCATGTCCATGACAATTTAATATATGTGTGTATGTACATATACACATTCTATAGTTATATATTTGTGTATGTGTATTCATATATGTGGGGTACACATATATAATTTACTATACTATAGAAGTCCCTTATGGGCCCTTTATGAATGAGAGCTGTGGGAGAGATGATCCTCTTGCTTCACAGTTTTGCAGTGCATGTCTCTCTCCTGCCTTTTCTCCTTGGTATAGAAATCATGACTACATATGAGAAGTTTCTAACAAATAGTGTTCCCACCAGACTAAATGTGATGCCCTCAGGTGGTGATGAGAGCTTTGACACTGCAGATAGTAACACACAGACTGAGTGACACCATGACCCTGGCCATGGGGACTACATGAGGTTCCAGGTGCCTTTCAGTACCAATGTTCTAGGATCTTACAAGTCAATCCCTTCTTGCCTTAATTTTGATATCTATGAAATGAGATGTAAAACGAGACCCTCTTATGCTTAGAAGGACTTTCCACATCTGGTATTTGGTGATTTTCCTTTATGATTTTAAACTGAAAGTCAGATTTAAAATCTAAATTTTATGTATTATAACACTACAGTTTTGTATTATAGGACTTCAAAAATTATTCATTTACTACAGTAGACACTTTTAAGGTACTTTGTATGCCCCACATATTCTTTTAAGCATCAGAGACATAATAAGTCACTTCAAGTTAAAAAAAAAAATCCTGCTCTGATAGGTCCTTGCTAGTAGTGGAAGTGTGGGAACAGAATGCCAAGAAAATTGGGTGAACACAGTGATGGTAGATGTAGTAGCTGCTAACCACATGATCAAATCCAGCATTGCCAAGTCTTAGCGTAGGTCAATTCTGTTTCTAAAATATATTTAGTAAATTATTCTATTTCCTTTACTTCTAATTTTAGAAAATATAAGAAATTAATAAAAATAATACATTAGGAATAGGAGTATATGGCACACCTTTTGGGTGCAGGACCTAACTACAAGAGGGACTTTAGCTAATAAATTCAAAATTGTCACCTATCTGTTTGTACCCTCACACGAACCTGAAATTAAAAAATTTTAAAAAGAACAGATTTCTACAGCGTATATGTTATGATATAGTAAACTTTTCCCACTGGCCTGACTTGGCACTCCCACTCTATGTGGACAGCCTTTATGGTTCCAGTTATGCATCTAGTAAACTTTTTATTACCCTTTCACCAATATTTATGGATTCAATTTAGTTTATGATATATTTTGAGTGGAAAAGCAAACATTTCCCTGTCCCTTAGTTAACAATGATTAAGCAAGTGATTTTTTTCCTCTTAGTATATGATTACTGTGTCTCTCTCCCATTCGTTTCCTTACCTTTGTTAATTTTTATACCTGCAAATAATGTAAATAGATTACAGAGGTTCATTTGGATGTATCTGACCATTATCTCAGAATTATTATAACTTTTCTTCATTTTGGATTTTTTCTTAGTAGAAAATTCTCATTTCTAAAAATTATTGATATAAACATTTCAAAATTACAGTAGAGCTTGACTATTACTCCCAATCCTTGCTTGGAGGAAAGAGGTTCAAAGAAAAAAAATTGGATGTGAAAGAATGATATATAAGAAAATGAAAAGTGGGTGGATTACTTATGACTCCAATTCTATTGAGAAAAGATGAAATTGATATCTACATTGTACAAAACAAACATTTGGTGAACAGGATGCAATTTTTTTCTTTTTCTTTTCTTTCTTTTTTTTTTTTTGAGACAGAGTCTCATTTAGTTGCCCTCAGTAGAGTGCTGTGGGGTCACAGCTCACAGCAACCTCAACTCTTGGACTTAAGTGATTCTTTTGCCTCAGCCTCCTGAGTAGCTGGGATTACAGGTGCCCACCACAACACCAGGGTAATTTTTTTGTTGTTGCAGTTTTCACCGTTGTTTAGCTGGCCTGGGCCAGGTTCGAACCTGCCTGGGTGCATGTGGCTGGCCCCGTAACCACTGAGCTATGGGAGCTGAGCCAGGGTGCAATTTTTTATATTAAATAATCTCAGGAGATGTTATTCACATAGAATCTCACACTACAACTTGCTGGGGTCATGAGAGTTTATATTAAATATACAAGGAGGAGTCAAAAGCAATTTGTTTTTTTTAAAGAAAGTTTTTAACTGAAGTTTATTATGAAGCCAAATGCTAGATTTGGTATTTGGATCATGTCCCCAAGGACACTGTCTCAAAGAAAGTGCCACTAATAATAATTAATATATAATAATGTATTAAAATGTACTATTTTGGGAATATGAAAAACAACTTTCCTCATAATTTGGCACCAACCATTCAAAGATTTTGAATCCTATCCATCTGAAACTGACTCCAATTCTTACCAATAAACCCTCATTGAACATTGCTCTGCACAAGACTGCTGGAAACTGGCCATATGAGATTCCCATTTTTAAGGATCTTCATCTCTAATTCAAGAGGTGAAATATATAAATCTCAAATGAAATAAAAGCGCCTAGCAATACAAATACCCAATGATGGCTACGGACAAGAAATGCTTTGGAACTCAATGAAGACAGAATTATCTCATGGTGGTGAGGCAAAAGTTCCCAGGGAAAGACAGAATTATCTAGGTTTGAGGGAAGGGTTGTGGGCCCATGAAACCTGGGGGCATTTCCAGGAGGACAGTGTGAGAAAGAGAGGAAGCAGCAGTTATTGTGGGGTGTGCTGTAGGCTGGAGAAGAGGAAGCAGAAAAGTTGAACAGTTATTGGGTTCCTGGCTATGAAAAGGTAGGTAGGGTCAAATTGCGGAGCCCCCCAAATGCTCTACTGAGAGGGCTTCATTTCTCACGCACACACAAAGCCATGTAGAAATTCATGATTTTAGGAAGACTTATGTGGTGCCCAGGACAGGTGTACTGGAGACAGGAGAGAGTGGAAATCTTAAAGATTATGGGGCAAAGAAAGGTATCGGATGAAAAGAACATGATGTGACACGTTGGTGTCAGGAGTGAGGAGCTGAGGGCCAAGTTGAGAGAGAACTTGAAGGAGGAATGGATTGACTCGGGTATTTGGCTGCGGCTGTCAGAATCTTATTTCACATTGGTTTTAGAATTCCCCTGGGGCTAGGTGGGCCAAGAAAAGTTGAGTGGTAGAAAGAACCTCCTCTCCATCATGTTTCTCCAGGCTGCTAGGAGAGGTACCCAGTGTTTCCACATAATAATATGAAAATCTGCTGATAATTTCTAAAATCATTCCCAGCTCTAAAACTATAACTCAATGGACTCTCACTTCCGTCAGCCTCGAATCTTCATGGGGATTTCTCATCCTGAGTAAGGGAGAGGGAAAGGGCACAGCATCCACACAGTGAAGGACTCTGATGGTGTAAACAGGAAAGCCCTTCTTGAGATTCTTCACTAAGAAGAATGTGTTCCAACTCCATCCAGGGAAACACAAAAGATGTAAAGCCTCTATCTTTTTAGGGCTGAATAGTATTCCATGGTGTACTTATATCACAGTGGTATTCCGTGTACTCAATGCTATTATGAAACTGTCATGAACATTTACCCACTCATATAAGGGGGAGGGAGAGGAAGGGAAGGGGGAGAGTTCAATTGGCGGGAGGAGGGAGGGCATTTGGTGGGATCCTGCCTAATGTGCAGATGCAAAGGTATATTTCAAAATAACTGAGAGTAAATTCTAAAGGTCTTAGAACAGAAAATAAGTAAGTGAGGTAATGTTAATCAGTTTGACTTAAGCATTCTACATTGTATATCAAATCATCACATTGTACCCCATAAACGTATACAGCTATGGTTTTAATTAAAAATTGATGAAAAGAAAGTCTGAATGAAAAAAAAAGGTGCAGTGTACTGGGCTTGGCTGGCATCAGAGAGCAGATGAAACAGTGCCTGTGGCCGGGGACCACGTACATGAGAGTATGTAGGAAATGACAGAGCAGCACCAAAACACCCCTACTGTCAGCTCCAGCCACCTGGACCTCAGCTCATCGTCCCTCCATAGAGGAGGGATTATCTATTATCCTAAAAATTCTAAGTCTTCCATCTCACTCCTTCCTATTATACTGTGATTCCAAGAGGCACAGCCCTTCTTGGGGACTGAGTGTGTCTGGAGAAGAGATCTCCTGACTTCTGTGTTTTGTTGTTGAATTCCTTTTTATTTCTTATAGTTTAACTATTCTGAGAAAAGAGAGTAAGGAGGTTGACCTGGTGAACCACACGTTCTCCACTATAATATACTTTTCTTTAAAAAAAAGGAATTGATA